AGGGTTGATCAATCACTATTTTACTATAAATGCAAGTCTTTCATTGGTGGAGAGGTTGCAATGACGTCATTAACCAACCCTGGGTCGTTCAAATCCTGTATAATCGAAAACGCTATAAGACTAAGACTAAGGCCGGTATTCATAGTCCGTTCTTATATTCAAGATTGTCTTAAGTACAGACTTATATTCGCTCTCTTCGTCAGACACAATCTATGTGTGACGAAGAGAGCGAATATAAGTCCGTATTTAAGACGATCTTGAATATAAGAACGGACTATGAATACCGGCCTAAGATTAAGATTAAGACCGAAGCATAAACCAGCCATTAGTACATTTCATGCAATAGCGGGAGCGGCCATTTTGTTGTAGGGTGTCATGGCCGAAACCGGAAATCCTGCCAGCCTCAGTCTTTCCATACGTCGAAGCCTAAAGTTAGCGATCTAGTACTAGTATAGACATCTGTGGATTGGACATTGTTGGACATCTCGTAAAATACGTGATCTATGGCCGTGTCGTCTAGCGAAAGGGCAATGTTGGTGATCTACTGCGCGAGCGAATCAACATAAAAGGGGTCGCCGCGCGATATGGATTTGTCCTAACAGATGACAAAGTGCAAGCCAGGCGCCGACTCTTTCGCGACGTAACTCAAGTCGCACTAATGGCGAGGTTAACTCTGTACGAAGGAACGCCAGGAATGGCAATAAAGTAAACGCGAAGAGAGAAATGAATGCCTGGTACGTTTTCAATGAATATTCGAGTAATATACTTTTATGTTGTGCAACTGTAAATGTTTATCTTTTCTATATTTAAATCTATTTGCATACTTTATTGATGCAACAAAGATAAGATAGTGATTTGCATACATTATTGTGAGATGTATGCTTGTTGATGATTCATTAAGTTATTCATTGTAAAGACGCGTTTATCATCTTTGTTTAAAATGAATGCATTAACTCTTCAAGCATAAATATATGTTATTATTTTCGTTTATAGCCTGACATATGGTAGATAATGAATAAAAAATGGATTAAGAATATTCTTTTCTTTGACAGGTTCTGATCACTGTAGCACAAAATGTGACACTTAAGTTGTTGCTACTTAAAAGCACTAGCATACGCAAAATGGAGAGAGTTATACCAATGAGTTGGTTGAACCAAATACTATTAGTTTTTAGTATAGCAGCTGCAATATTGTCTTTAGTTATACAAGGATGGACAGACCTCTCACCTCTGCCAATATATGTTTCCATCTCTTGGGCTATATTTATTACAATTATATCTGTATGGCTGAGTTGCTGCTTATTACGTCTCACGCTGAAAGCCAACAGTCCAATTGCTTTCGAGTTTGTGAACAAATGGATTTACAATAGGCTAACAAACCATCTGAGTTCAGATTCTTCAATAGACAAAGATAAAAATACCGAACATGTCCCGAAAAGTGATAGTGAAAACCAAAAGAACTCGAATTCTGCACAAGAAGCTAGTGTTAAATGTGATAGTAATACAATCTCAGAAGATATCTGTAACAAGATTCCTTCAATAGAGAAAGAAAAGCTGAATTGCATGACTACAGAAATTAATACAAAGTGTGTAGATATTTGGTACAAGAATATAAGTAATGACAAGTCATTTACCGATGAAGCTCAGGAATTATTGAAAAAGTTTTTGGTAGATTTGTTTCAAAAGGCCAGTCAAATTAATAAAATAAAACTTACTAATAAGTTGGCCAATGTTCTACTGTTACATTTGAAGGAGTATCGTAGGTATGGATATATCTGTTAAGAATTATCTTTGTTTTAAGATTTCGCACAAATTCGCTACCTATGCGTACGTTTCGCAGGGCATTACGTAGAGTCGAGAAGGGTGCTGCAGCGAGCGTGGAGGAAGCGTACAAATATTTGCATCCCGGTTCTCGCAGTGCGTCTACGTTAGAACATATGCTACATCGTTTAGTGACTGTTCTAGCAGAAGAGTTTTTACAGTGGGAGTTAACTAGTTCATTGCCGTGCAAACTCCTGCTGTCTATTTTAGCAAAGAGACTCTTAATAACAATAGATACAATAAGTTGCCCGGAGTGGTTGATCGAGAACTTGTTAAGTTTTCTGGAAGCTCCGCCAAAACAAGTTTCCGCTGTTCCAGCTAAACAAGATATCAATGTACATTTTCATAATGCCAGTATTATATTATGATAATTAGATGTTAATTTACTACTAATTATTTATGTTTGCAGGGTACCATAACTGTTGCTTTAAGTGACGGCATCACGTCCGCGACAGCAGCTGTGATCCCGCAGCAATTACCGAAATCTGTACCCAAGTCTAATCCACCTACAATCATCACGAGTGAAGATGAGAGCGCAACTGAAACGGCAGCTCCAGAAAGATCGACTTTGTGTCTGGAAGGTCTCTCCACAGAGCACAGAGGCCTTTGGGGAGATAGCATAACGGATCTGGAACTAGAAGAGGATAAAATATCACCGGTGTACGAAGAGCCGACGGATTTCGCTACGACCATCGCTAGGCTCAGAAATCTGCTGCAACAGAAATCTACAGCAACCACACCATTGTTAGTAATAACGACGGCATTTAGCTACCGATGATGTCGATCAGTGTAAATATCACGGACTTGTAAATTTCAGACATGCCGAAGAAAAGTCCTACGTGATATACGAAGGATGCCAGTTTACAAACTTATCAATTCCATGGACCGAATTTCATACTGCGACGGACGGCTCGCAACAACTGTTCTACTGCATACAATTCGACGATGTCGAGCAGCGTGGAGTAGATCTGTTCGAAACTACTACTGCTACTGTCAGGAGGCAACATTGCGATTTCGTTCAGCTGCATCTCAGTTTGGAAGAGGTGAGACGCGTAAATAGAACGCTATAAATAAATTCGTATAAAAATAAAAATGCTTCTAAATAAATTTAGCAAATTTGAAGTTAGGTCATGACGTTCTCAAATTCCAGATTTCGTCGTTAGCGAATGTTATGTCGGATCTGGTGTTGCCAGATGGTGGGCGGATTGAGCTGGAAACTTATTTAAAGACCTTATGTACACGGTTAGCGAACGAGTGTCCACCGCAACTGCGTCACTTTCTTCGACCGAGTAGCAGCGCAGGCAAAAAAGCGGACGCAATTGCGCCTCGCTTGGATCGATTTCTAGCTAAGACAGTAACTGGTGTCTTCAATACGCTGAAGACTGTTGTACCAGGCTTTGAACTAGATCAAGAAGAAGATGCTTTACCTCTACCTACTCTAATGCCCTTGTCGGATATACCTTGGAGATTTGTCGAAGATATAAAATCGGTAATGAAATTGAAATTATAGCAGATGTTAATTACTTAAATATAATTATTATAATTAGTATATATATCTGTAATATATAAATTCTAATTCTAATTAATGTATAACACACACACCATAATATAATACATAAAATTAATATGCTTTTTTACATTACAGAAAAGTTTAGCCTCTGAACTCCAGAAATTGATCAAAGAAAGGACAGAGTATTGTATAGTAGACACAGCTTATGAAGCGGTTGATTCAACGGAAACCAGCAACGATACAGAGTTATTGGATTGCTGGTGGGAGAACATTAACACTTCGTATGACGGTGACTATAACATATATAATATAACACTGCGTCTTGTATCTACAAAATATAATTTTGTAATAACAAAAAATGATTTACGTTTTTCAGATGAAGTGGACGAGTTGGATTCCAATTTAACACTAACGTGTACGATGATAGATCTAATTTGTGAGCTTTTAGCAGGGGTTACTAGTAACAATACATTGCAACAAGAAGCGGTCGTTAGATGGACTAAATTGCTATTTGGAAATATTTCAGAACCAATCCTGCAGGTAAGATGTATTTAAGCTCGCTTTTAAAATTATATTTCTTTTTTACCAAGATTTTTATAAACTTTATGATTATTTGCAGAAAACGATTCTCTGGTTGTTTGATTCCCTGAGCAATTTTTCGCTAGTTTGCAACGCCTCACATATCACGAGCCAAACTAATGCTCAGTCGAAAGATAAATTGCTGCGCATACTGGAAGAAAAGATCTCGTATGATATAAAATTGATATTCGGTGAGGATGATGCACACAAAGCTTTGAATTATCTATTGAATTCATGTGAAATCAAAAAGATCAACATGGATGTAAACATGCAAATGTTAGATGCATTAGTGTCAGAAGTTTTGATTTCCTGTAAGACAAATCACGATGTTACGAATTAACTCCAACTTTTGTTTAGTCCTTTAGATAGAAAATTACTTAGTGGTTTGCAAGACTCGCACATTAATTTATTCTCTTAAGGGTGTTTGGGAGTCATTAAGATACTTATATGAAAATATTTATGTTAAGAAAATTGATGTCATGCTTTGATCATCAAATATCACAAATTCCAATTTTTATTCAGACCTTTAGATAGAAAAATTCTTAGTGATTTGCAAGATTCGCACATTATTTTGTTCTCTTGTTGGTGTTAGGGAGTCATTAAGATACTTATATCAAAATATTTAAGTAAAGAAAATTAATGTGCCATACATTGATCATAAGAGCATATGTTGACTGTTTACATTTCGAAAACCAGATTTTTTAACATGAAGACTGCGTACCTGATTATACACTTACAATAAGATATGCCAAGCATTTTTTCCATTAGAGAATAATGACTCCTCAATTGTATAGCGTGAAATGAGTCACTCGTGGAAAGGCACTATATGCATTTCTGAACTTACTAAGTATATAACGTTTATATTTAATGACTAAGTTTTGTACAAAAGAATTGTATATTCCTGCGAAACATATGGTGCATGTTATACAATTATACAAACTGCAGCTCTCATTACATTCCAAAGATTGTGATCATATGTTCAAAATATGAATGTACACACGAGCTTACCATTTAATTACATGTTTATTTATGTAAGATAATAAGATTAAATGTCTTATAATCTAATTAATTTTCTTTGGCTGTTTCACTTGCAGCTTTCTGTTTTTCTAATTGTGCTCTGAAAATAATTACCATATTTCATAAATTTTATGTAAAACATTACACAACTCTCATTCAGATTTTAGAGATTTATGATCTTTGTTTTAGATGTTACATTTCATACTTTTTCAAATCAACCTCTATGTTGCCCTTATGTAAATCTTTCAGTAAATAAATTCAAATAATACCTTAATTGTTGATTGAAGTCATCCTCAACATCATCATCATCCCAATTATCCTCCCAGACACTGATATCCTCGCTGTCTTCATCCTTTGCGGTCCAATCTAATTGATGAATCAGCGATTTCGAGGTTATATCATTTATACAATGACACTAATGAATTTAAATATGTACCTTCCGCAGGAAACTCCTCAAATTCGTCATCCTCCTCAAGTAATCCAAGATCGACTTTCGCTTTGTCGTTCTTATTTTCCGTCATACTTGCGAATTTCTTAACAAACGACTTTTCAATCAATTTGAGGTTACGCCAGGTTACACACTGTATATCAGAGTTTGATCAGAGTTGCAAGTTTTTCCCACTTCGCGCTTTAGTTTGCCAATAGTCATGAACAAAATACAAGATACATAGAAAGAAAACTCAGTTTTAACAAACTGAAGTTATTGCACATCCTGCATATTTTTTAGTACGTCTGACTTCATTTTTGCTGCCCTGTATTAATTTAAAAATTAAAAGAATTACATTTATTTTTCGACATTCTTAGTTCAACAATGGTACATATTGCATTACATTCACTCTCTTTTATTTCAATAAAATTTATTTTAATAATTTTTTTATGATCGCAGCGATATTTGCATCATCGATAACAAATGTAAATTTTTATATTCTTATTTTATATATTAGTTGTAAATGTATATACGATTAGATTCACTAAAATTAATATTCAGATCAGACTAGAAATATTGAAATATTTCTGTCACACAAAGTATGAGCAATCAATGTGATCAATCTAAATTTTCTTTATAATTTTATATAACTATTTTAATAAATTTATTAATCCATTTTTGTCATAACATAATCAGTATATATATTCTGCAATTTTTAGATATTATATCTGTGTTACAGAAAATTACAGAATAAACATACAGGTCTTTGGTACGATCCAATATTCTCACTTTTGTGCAATTACTCATTTCGATAATTTCAAACATTCGTAAACTTTATTGCATCTAATATGCATAGCGAGATCTGTCATAAACGACGTAATGTGAGTTTCTTTGTCCCTCTGTTTGCCGTTTTCAAATGCTACAACGAGGGTCATTCTAGGATCAGTGTTGTGGAATGCATATGTACATAAATCCTGTAAACACACTTAATTTATTATTTATTTCTAAATTATTTCGCAGTCAGCATACCTTTGTGCTTTTGTGGTAAGTAACTTTGTCCATGGCAAGAAGTTCCATCTGACGTTCCTTTATCTTGGTTTGAATATTGTCCAAGTGCTCCGATGGTTTCTGCATAAATGTCTGAAAGAAACATTTATATAAGAAATCGCAGAATATGCATTCCTCCTTTGGATACAAATAAATATATTTAAATTAATTAAAAAAAAATGAATAAACAGTAAATTTTTATTTACACTAGGATAACAAACAACAAAGCGAAAGCTCTCGGAAGCGTCTGCTCCTCTGTCTGGATATCTATATCCAGGACCTGAATTTTCAGTTCCTCTAGAATCAAAGATTATTAGCACCGCTAGTACATCGTGCTTCCGCTGAAAACTTTGCATCCTGAAATAAACACCTGTTATGTATACCATACAAGTTGTGGAACAATATTTATATCTTACTTATGATAATAATCCACACTCTGTTTGCTCATAATACTTCTCATTTCTCCTGGACTAGCTTGCTGGCTTAGAGCAGTGTGGAAGTACAAGGAATATTTAGCTAATATGGCACTGCGAAGTTTCACCAGCCATTGGTATAGTGCTGGTTGTTGATTCGCTTTAAGAAATGTCGCACCAAAACCCAATTTCCAGGACTGAAAAGCTTCGGGTTAAAGTACTGGAAAACTGCTTTTGCGATTTTATTCACATATTGCTAACCTCCTTGCTCTGCAGAGTCCTTTCCCAAGCTGACATTCGCGTTTGTGCTCCATAGAGAGCCATTAGAGTCGGTAAAAATTTCCAATTTTGAACTTCGACTTGTGCCTTTGTTAATTGTACTAGTATCTCAAATTCCAATCTGAAAAACAAGAATTCTCTTTATTAGCTTTTTACATATATTTATAATTTAAATTATTAAAAAAGTATAAACATATTTACGTTAAACCTGTTTTAATAGCAGTCAGTGCTAAATGAGAACACGATAATACATGACCTTCTACTATTTCCTCAATAAACTGCAACAGTTCTTGGTGCTTCATAACTTTGCTACTTACACTCATATTGTACATTTTTTCATAGCTGTAATATAATAATTTTAGATAAAATTACAGATATAAAATTAAAATGCTAATATACTAACAATTCTATCAGTTGGATTCTTGCTGTGATAAATTGGCAGAGTTGATTAGAAACATTTGCAACAGTCGCTCCAATAGAGTTTGTTCCTCTGGTCATTTCCTCAAGTCTCTTTAAATCAGACTTCAATGATTCATACACAGTTTTTAAAGAATTCTGTAAACAATATTAAGAGACAATTTGAAAACATTTGTTAATTTAATTTGTTTTTTTGTTGGTTAATACATACATCCTTTCTAAGGAAGCCTTTATTTTTAGTATGGAGAAAACCTAGATCTACATATGAACGTTCAGCCATGGCTATTTGTGGTAAATGCAACAAAAGCATGCCCCATGGGCCCATTTGTGTTTGCCTGCATGATTCCCTTTCTTTTTCCTAAATTAAATTTACATTTTTTAAAATACAAAAATAACAATGGAAAATTTGCATCAGTTTCTTAATGTTATTTACTCACAACTGTCTCTTTAGCTTTATCGATGCACAGCTGAGCGACCTGTGTAAAAAAGGTGTTAAGGAATTCATCTTCGTGATCCATCATCTATTTTCGTTTGCACCAACGCAGGTAAACGGTGGTCGGGCCATGCGTGTTGTCATACTAACGAGGTTATATTGTGACATTTTGAACGCATTGGTTAGGTTCAAAAAACGAAAAAAAAAATCGATAAGAAATGTTATGATATTTAACTTAAATGTATAAATAATTATAGTTTTTAATATCAAAGTATACACTTTTATTAAAACTTTAATGACAAACATATTTGTAAAATGAGTTTTATTTGAATGACATTTGGCTTTATGTATGTACAAAGTTCATCTTGTGATATATCATATTATGATAAGATTTATAAGTTCATGATTGCTCTCTTTATAGCTTTCTCCTTGTTTCTCCTGATTTTCTTTTTCTTTTCGGTATTCTTACTGGCATCTCTGAAGAATTTGATTCCTTCTTGTTCTTCGAGAATGCGTTGGATGTACATCATACCATGCAAATTAAAACCAATAGTATCCTGTAATACAATTATCAATTAATTCATCAAATAAATAACAGTCTCAGAAGCAACATGTGCAGTAAATAAATTATTTGGTAGTAATAAATAAATGTTCATTACTCTTAAAGTGGATATTTTTTTTACAGCAAGCTTCTTTACAATCTCCAATGTGGGCAAAAGATTTTGATTTGCCACTATTGGGCCATGGTGTGCCTGTATTAAGCACAAAGCTAATCTGGCTAATAATTCGGCATGGTAATCCCTTTTCAACAGAGTAGGAAGTTTCTGCAGAATATCACAGGCTGCTGAAAATGGCAATAACAGCAATGTTTCTTCCATTTCACTGAAACACGCAATGCATTCATTAGTTATACTTTCATTCTTATGTGATAGCTATTGTGATAGCACTCTTATTGTGTATTCTATTGCATTTTACCTTGCCCTAACTCGTTTAAAAGTTTCCAATAAGAAGTCTTCCGTGCTTGCACAATTATAAGCTTGCATCAAGAGAGGAAGGGGTGGCTTCTCGTCAGAAACAGCTTTACTCAATTCATCGTCATATTGTTTAGACACTTCCAAACATTCTAATATTAATTCGGCCTGATAAAAGAAACGAATTTGTGTAAAATAGATTGTGTCTTAATCCCATCTTATATTTTAGTGATTCAACTCACAGCTCTTTCACTGCTGACAGTCTTTCTGGAAGGTAATGCTTGTTGCTTCTGCCCTAACACCGCTGTGGTTTCCCCAGTGACTAATTCGTTCTCCTGCTGTTCCCTTTCTTCTTCCGCTTCGTCTTGTAATACTAAAGGTTCATTAGTCTTCTCGTATAATCTAATTACCCTATCGGAGCCGCAAGATGCGACAAAAACTCCATTTGGCGAAACGCAACAATTCCAACTTTCTCCAGCGTGACCCTACACAAAAGTTGCACATTATAATTAAGCTGATGCGCACTTTTATAAAATACTAAGCGAAATGTATTACTTGTAATGTGACGATCTTTTGAAATATATCGGCGTCCCACTGTTTAATTTTGCCGTCTTTTCCAGAAGAAAAGAAATAATGAGTATCAGGCACAAACGAGAGACCTGTGACAGAGTCGTCGTGCGCGAACATAGATTTGTGGCAATCGCCAAAGTCAAGGCCCCAGATTTTAATATTGCGATCGGCAGAACCAGTTGCTATGAGCGCGGAGTCGCTGGATATATCCATACATAACACTGGTAGCTTGTGTCCATAAAGTGATACGAAAAACTACCGAAAAAAGAAAATGTGAAATAAGAAATAAAATTAAAAACAAAATTGTATAATTGAAAATAATTACGGTACCTTGAATGAATCCAAAAAGAAGATTTTAATGGTAGAATCCAGTAGAGAAACGGCAACAAATCTGCTGTTTGGACTTATTCTTACACACAGTACGCTTTCTTCAAGCTTAAGCGTTCTTGTGTGTAAGACAGAAAGGACCTTCGCTTTAATTTGACTGTCTTCATCTTGAATTAGTTCAAAGTTCCAAAATTTCACTGTTTGGTCACCGCCGCCACTGGCAACTCCTTTCTATTTGCAAAAGTATATTAATGAGCTTTAAAATAACAATGGTTATTAGAATATTTTTATTGCGAAATATTACCTTATCCGGAAACAACGTCACGCTCCAAAGCTCTTTGGAATGCGCAGGCACCTCTTCCAAAATATCGCCGGATGCAATGTCGATAATAAGCATCTTACCGTCCTTCAAACCAACAATCAGATGCCTATCTCCCGGTACGAATGTTATGGTCAAGGCGTAACCGCAATGCACTGTGCGTAAACACGCTAATGTTGGCCTAAAAATTATCACGCATTAATAGTAATATTTATTGAAGATATATTTCATAAAATATATTACCTATTCCATAATTTAACAGAATCTCCGCTCACAGTAGCGAACGCTAAATTGTCAGAACTAAAACAAACAGCTCGGACATCTGAGCGATGTCCATGTGCCGCTATTGAACGTAAACATTTTACTTCCGGATCCTTCTCTTCCGTGTACAAGGAATGCAATTCGATCGAATTGTTATTAACTCCAACGCATAACTATATAAATAAAATAAAATATAACATATCATGAGTGTTTTAAGCGATTAAATTTAAATTTTTATTATGCTCTTACTAACCCGGAGTTCATTTTCTTTGCCCATAATTAAATCAAGCCCTTTCACTTTACCGGAAACTTGCACGACAGGTAAACGTTTTATCTCATCCCTTAGAGATGGTGCAGTCGATGGATTCGTTTCTGCATCACTTCCTTGCCTATTCATAAAAAAATAAATTTATATTTAATATTAGATGTAAAATTTAAACTTTACTATAAATTTAATTTACTTTTGTGCTTTTTGTCGTTCTTTCTTCATTCTTTTTGAATATCTAGTCTTTACTGTTTCTTCAGGTAGTAGATAAAATAATTCTATAGAATTTCCCACTCCGTGGCATCCAAAAACTTTGCATGTGGAGTCAGCTTCTAACGAGATAACACGGCCGTTCCCAGCGCGTAATATACTCCCAACTTTTTCACATTTCATGGGATATTTCTATAACAATATAATGCATTTACATTACATATAATGATTTCACTTTTATTATATAAAAGTTAATCCGCGTGCTGCAAACTTAGAATAAAGGTATAAAAATATACATAACATACCATATCTGTGTCTATACTTTCTTCATTCTCTTCGTCCTCTTCATTGAGATTTAAAGTGCTTACACCTGTATCAAACTCAATACTCTTGTTATCAAGAAACGTTATTTTCCAGACACGCAATTCTTTATCATTACATCCTGTTATCAAGTATCGATCGTCGTTCACTAAGACGAGACTCCAAACCTGCATCAAATTATTATTCCAAGTAATTAGAATTAATATAATTAATAAACAAAAATATAATTAAATAGTATACCTCTGATCTATGTCCAATTAAGGTTTTGAAATTATGTTCTGTGTCCAGATCCCAAAACTTTACAAATGTATCTTTGCTAGCACTAATAATGATGTTATGCTCCTTCATAAAAGTTAATTTAGTTATAACACCTTTGTGTCCAGTTAACCGACATATTCCAGTTTCTGCCACAACATCCCAGACAATGATATCTGTATCCTATTACATTAAAAGACAATTTTGTTGATATTTATAATTATAACGACACAACTATGCTTGTTAAAAATTCTTACTTTAGAGCCAGTGGCTAGTCTATGTCCTAAAGCATCGTACGCTAATGCTGTTATTTCAGATTTGTGCCCCACAAATATGCTGACGTTTTCACCAGAGCTTAAATCAAAAGTTTTCACTGTGCCATCTGTGTAGCCAACTGCAATATGTCTTTTGTTCGGTGATGCAGCCAAATGTGTTACACATGCTTTCTCTCCGGACAATACTTGTGCCTGAAATTACATATACATTGTAGAATAAAACTCAATTATTTTTATTAAGTTCTTACATTTTCCTCTTTTTTCAAATTACCTTTTCTCCAAGCCGTAGATCCCAAATGTATACATGTTCACACGCAGCAGCAGCTACAAATCTACCTTCTTGGCCTTCCAATTTTACAAAGACAACATTGCACCGAGGACTTGCAATTATGTTTGCATTACCTGCAGGTACATATCTGAGATACTGTTTGGTCAAGCCCATTTTATTTGCAGTTTATTCACAGTTTGAAGAATCTAATATATATCTAATATTATGTATATTTAATACACATAATAAAACTTATGATAGCAAACTAATGTGTGAGTGAGAATAAATAAGCCAAATTAATTTATTCCACTATTACATCAATTATTTGTCATATAATCAAAAATATTAGATTTTACTATTTTAAACATTTTTGTCTCTAATACAAGATAATCTTTCAGGATTGAATTGAGGTTATAAACGCACGTGGATCACGTCAAGCTAGGTAGCTGAAGGCAATAAAATCCAATTGAAGCTAGATGGCTCGAGTGCGCTGCTGCGCGCGTTCTTTTATCAATACACTGCGTCTTTTGATAATGATATAGCATACTAAAAAGAACAAAGAACATTTAGAAAAAATACAATTTTCAAATTTACAATACAATACAATACAATAACAAATGTACAAGTAATGTTTCAAAATTTGAATTAATAAAATATATTTTTTTACAAATGAGAAATATTACTGTACTTTAAAAAATTTTACAAATTGAGAATATGTTATAGTAACACAATTTATTATTTTATTTATTACAAAGGAACTGTAGAGAAAAAAGTACATAATAACTGTACAAATGCACAAGAGACAGACAAACTTTCACCAGAATCATTCACTCATGTTCAAGTGCCATATATATCAACGAGTTCAGTCTGAGCGCTTATTTTGTTGAACATTGAATAAAAGGCACTGGCAAGAATTGCTTCTCTTGTTCTTCCGATATACAACTCCCATTCTCTCATCGAATCAATGTACAAGCAAAGTTTATTTTCGCACTTAAACTTACCAAAGAGTAACGCCGTGTTACTTTATTAATGTATCCCATATCTTTTACGACCAGAACAGCTTTAGGTATTCAAATAATCATCACGTGATTAAATATTACGTAAACACTGAAAAATGATCGATTTTCTTTCTCCTTAAATTGTTTATCTGCTGTCAATATTTTAATGTACTCGATAAGTTACACAGTTCTTAATATCAAAAGACTGTACTTGTGCTTGGCGTTTATATAAATATTATAAAATAGTTTTCCTAAACGAATTTAAATTCCTATTGCTATATATTGTAAGTTTCGTATATGATATTAATAATACATCGGTAGAATGTAATTCTGCTATTACGGTTTTGTCGCTCCGGAAATTGTATAGGAAGCATAATAAAGCACATTCAGGTTGGTCGCTATTATCGATGGTATTATCGTCCATATACAAAAGTCCTGGAAGTACGTTTATAGCAGAAAACACAAGTTATCTATTATGCTGTGGCTGTGTGATCTGTTCCCCACTGTGAACCGGTTGTGTCAATGTGTTCTGAAACCACATCATCCAGTTGCTCAAGTAATGGCCATCCAATTGAGTTTCCGGATTGTCTCTTATCTGCACATCGTTCAGTTCTTGAAAATTGCGAACAGTTCGGAGTTCTGTGAAATTATTGTTCACTGAATGGCCCCCATGCATCCTTACCTCCCTCTTCCTAAGGGCGTCTTTTACTAACCTTTGCCTACGCTCTTCCTCCGTCTCGATGGCGGATCTCGTGAATCTCATCTCCCTGGCTCTCAGGGCGTCCCTTCGCAATCTCTCCTTCCTTTCCTCCTCCGTCTCTTTAGCATATTGATTCAGTCGAGCTTCTCGCCTCTTCGCTGATTCTTTGTTCAGCCTTTCTCTTCTCTGTTCCGGCGTTTCGCTCGCGTACAACGAAAGCCTCTTCACTCTTCTTCTCTCGGCCTCACGATCCAATCTCTTTCTCTTGTCTTCCGGCGTCTCGTTATACATTCTGTATTCTCTCTTTCGCGCTGCTTCAGCGTCCAACCTTTTCCTTCGTTGCTCCGGTGTCTCGTAATACATTCTCATCTCACGTCTCTTCGCCGCTTCCTTCGCCAGCCTTTGCAGACGTTGCTCCTCGCTCTCTTGCTCATACAACTTCTTCCGTTTCTCTCTCATACATTCAGCCTTTTTTCTCAATCGCTCTCTGTAGTCCTGACACACGGTGGACTTTAATCTTACGTGTTTCTTCGTCCTTCTGGATACTTTAGTTTTCTCTTGCTCCGCAGTATCCTTTCCGTCCGTTAATTGACCTCTACGTTTCGTAATCGCAATTACGTCGGCGTCCACATCCACAGGAATTTGTATATTTTGCTTAGAATCCTTCAAGACTCTCAATTGTATACTGGTGTCGTTATTGCTGTCGCATAACCACTCCGCAGTGTACAGCGTACCGCTACCTTCGTCATCCTCCTTCTTTATATTAATATTAAGCCCATCCAAGAATTCGTTCGGTATTGTTACTGTAGATATATTGTAATTGGTCGATTGGATCTGGTCATCGTTTCGAATAAACACTTCTGTTGTGCTCGGCTGTTTCTGGAATTCGATATTTATGGAATCAGAATCCAAGGTGTCCAAGTAAAGCGGATCCGTTAATGCGTTACTAATGGCACTGCTTTCGGTATGGTCTATGTTCTCTAAAGTAGAATCTGAGATGCTTGATTCCTTAGTCTCGTGCTGATCTTTATCAATCGCTTTCTCACCGATTGTGTGATAATTTGTACTCTCTTTAATTTCGATAGTACAAAAACGCTGCGCTGCTGTAATTATCTCGACTTCGTTAAGGTCCGTTTCATCGCTCTTCTGTTTATCATACACTGAGAGTTTATCATACAAGTCTGTAGGTTGATTTCTTATTCGTATATCGTCTTCAGATATTTCCATGTCCCCACAGAGACTAAATGATACACTAAATTCTGAAATAATATAGTAACATATTTAGAATTATGCTATAAATAATTATTATCACAACTTTAATTACATTCATAACTGGCTTTATTTGCAATACTAAAAATATTTTATAGATATAAAAAAATACTCAAAAAATTAGCAATAAGAAATAATATATGTATAAAAAAACAAATTTAAATAGTTGCTTTATTGCTCTAATTGTTAATTAGATACAAATATTTGTTAATCGAAATACATATACCCATACCTGCGTATCGTCTGCTTGACAGCTGATTTAAGATGGCAGCGTGGATGGCACTTTAGAGACGTGCATTTTCGCGGCAATTATCAGCACCACGCTCGACGTATTTGTCATTTCTGTTCTCGTGTCACATCATAAAGCTGTAAATCGCTCATAGAAGAAGTATCCATGTAATTGATTACGTGGTTCTATCCGAAATTCATCCGAACGTCGAGCGCTGCTCGTCCATCCACGTCTTTCGTCATTGCTAAGGCAAGGAGACTAGAGGGTGGACTCTGAAACAAAAATCGAACTGCATTAAAATCGAAGATGACGCTGCAATCGAGTTTGATTATTACATTATTGTGGTATATCTAGAAGTTGCGTAATCAATGCGTAAATGCAGAGCATCAGACACGTGACTTTTTGACGCTCGTTTGAATTATAAGATTATGCGTACGCAGAGATATGTAGCTGCACAGAACTTCATTTTTCATCAATCTAAATTATATCGACGAAAAAATCATGTTGAAGACTCGTCTAATCAAAGTTTGCGCTTCGCCTTTTTGTATCCAATTACGCGCAAGTTTAAATAATACATGCAGGATATCTAAAAATGGTCATCGGTTCTTCGATTCATCAGATACCAATAAATCTCTCGCTCCAAATATACGCATGACATATATACATATATAGATATATATATATTCGCGCTTTTTGCCCGCGCTCCTTCCAGGAATACGGTCCTCGATCATATACCATTAATTACCGACGCGATGCATAACGATTAGCTTTTTCCTCGGCAGCCGTCGCCAAAACGCGCGCGTCCGTATCCGGCGACTGCCGGCGTCGCGCGCGCGTATACGTCACTAAACGTCAACTCCAAATGGAAACGTCTTAATTATCGGAGCACGTAGTATCGGTAGGGGGAAGCGGAGCACCGCGTCCGCAAAAACCGTCAACCGGCAACCCGTGAACGAACGACATGGTCTCGGGACAATAAGGAGGGATACTTATACACGGGCGTACGCTATATAAGTATATCGAACCGTTTCTCGTTCTGCCACCAAAAGCGAGGACGTTTATCGTCGCAAAGAAACGCACCGCGGAGATACGATACGCCGATAAAGACGCGAAAAGACCATTCACGGTTGTATCGGTCGCATTGGGACGAAAACGACTCTCGGAATCACGCCTCTCAGCGATACAAGATTGATTGATTAACAATGTGATATCTAACGCTGACATATCGTTATTAAATACGCAACTGCTTCTTGAAAGCAAATGCATCACAATATTAGATTTTTATTTATTTGAATCAATAAGTGATACTTTTTTTCTGCTAAATAAATGACGAATTTAATGATATATGAAAGAAATTCAGTAAAAAGATCACGTCCTACAACAACTAAAAGTTTGAAACGTTTATTAATGTATATGATTTCCGTGACAACTAAGGTGTTAAGCGTGCAATAATTTATGGACGCTCATTCGGTTACAATTATCAAATTCGCATGCGAAGTTGTATCGGCGGGCGCGGAATGTCGCGATGGAATCTTTTTTTTCGCAACCGCTTGACAAAATTATCGGAGAACTAAATCCAATAAGGAGCCGGTCGTCAAGGATTCGTAAGAAAACATTCCCGCTGATGTGATCCGCAGCATCGTAATCGGCCATCAATGATACCTTTTCAATGTTCTTTATCCAGCTCACGCCGACGATTCCCGTCGTTCGTTCTGCCGAAATATTCTTCTTGTTCGTTGCTATTAAATTAGGAGGGCTAAACCTCGAAATAATTCTTACGAGCGCCAAGCGACAAGCTTCGGTGTGCCACACGTCGAAACTGGTTCCAGTATCGGTTTTTCGAAACAGCACATAAATAATGTCATCCGAAACTGAAAAAACAATAAAATTTATATAACAACAATTTTGAGGCATCGATAAACAAAAATTCTTGGAATTTGATATGCAAAATAAAATTAAATAATCTGATTGAAATGTTATGCATGTAATAAAAATTTATCATTTTTAATCTCTTATTTCTACTTTGAAGACGCGTATATTTTAGGATGTAAAATCCCGTTCCGTCTAAAATTATTCCATTGTACTTCCGTGGCCGCGTTCCTTTCGACGATTGCGTTTTAATCGCGCGTTTCTCGGACGAGATCGTCGCGTAAATCGCGGATCGCACTCGCACGACGGAAGCTCTGGAACGAATGGCGGAGACAGACGACAAACACATACGCACGCAAAAGCACCCAGGAAAGAGACACGGAGGAACCGACAAAACACACAGGACGCTCGTTCCCCGCGCGGAGAAAAAGCCGCGGCGAGTATAATGGATATCTTTATTATCGGGACCGCGAGTCACCGAGACTCCGTGAGAGACTGGCGGAGTCAACGACGACAACGTCGACGATGACGACGTCCTGATTCCGCTCGATTGGATCGAGTTGACTCAGGCCCAATTGGTCCCACCGGCTCCCCGCGCGACATAAATATTGATGAAAACGATGCGTTTATACGCGAACGACAAGTCCGTCCGCGGTTAAAAAGCCGGAAGATTTATCGGGACGCGGCCTCCCGACGACAGCCATTTCCGAGCGGATCGTACATCAAGCCGAGTCCGGATCGCGAATCAGTTTCCGCGCGTATGACGCGATTCGCGGTTTGAGTTTCGGTTCGGCTGGGTAGTCGCGAGTCTAAGCATCTTTTTTCTTATTTGTATCCTTGCTCAAATTAATATCAAAATTTAAATTGAAAATTTTTTAGAGATTCTCAAAAAAATTCCACATTTTGTTGAAAAAATCTGTCGCTATTCGATTAATTTTCATATTAAGTAATATGTTGATTTTATCAGACTTATGGAACTTAAAAAATTTCTTACACATTTTCTTGAAATGTTGATTATGAGACCACACTTTTATTAATAATTACATTTATTAACATAGACCATAGATTTTTGTGTCTGCTGAGTTTTCAGGCCACTCTGGAATAATGTCATTTATTAGGAGACAGATTGATTGTCCTGTCAAAGAAAATTAATACAAACATTAATTAAGATGTGCTACTGCGATCAAAATTTTAAGAAAGTATATAAGAAACTTGTAGATTTTACGCCAGACAAAATTAACAAGCTAATTAAAAGATAATTATACTAAACTTAATTTATAATATTGTATAGCAACAAGAGATCGTATATATTTAAAATAAAACGTTTTTATGTAAAAAAAAAACTATACCCATTAATTCGCAAAGTATATTTTGAAGAACTCTTCTAATCGGCGCAACGTCTCGCGTAAAGCGCGCGTGTCTTTGACTTCTGTCGCAAACCGGTTTACACAGTACGTACGTCGGATCGTTCAGTTACACCAGTTTTAACTTTACGCCGACCGAGACCTTGTGCGCCTATTGTCCATTGTACACCGCAACTTCTGGTACAACGATAGAAACGCAGACCAATTAACATCTATTTGAACTGAATGGTATAAGCGCTTTATGATTGTTCCCCCCTTCGATCCTCATCTCGCGGTCGCTTAATCACGACATCGTCGTGCCGAGCCTCGATGATGAGACGTTACTATTGTAGTGTTGCAACTTTATGTGCGATTATGGGAATAATCGCGGGTAATAAATATCGCCACTCACAAAGACTCTCTAGAAATTTGTTTTGCGTATTCTACGGTGCCTAAGCGACGCCAAATCATGGGATGCTGCCCGAGATTTGGGGGTTCGTTCATCACCTAAAAACCGACGTAAACGTCTTCTCTTCGACCGCTGCCCCTTCCTTCCTTCCCCCCTCATCCTCCCTTCCGCATGTTGGCACTCCGCGCCACAGACGGTACCGACAATGGGATGCTTCATTTGAATTTATAATGAATGCTAGTAATTCAATTTTTTGATGGTAGCACAAATTAGAGACCGCGCCAACCGAAACTCGCCAATGGAAGAAAGTGGCAAAGGAACGGGAGAGGAGGGGAGGAGGTAGCCGACGACACGGTGAATAGAGAGAGGCATCACCGAACGACGGAGGATTGTGCCGATCGTGTTGAAAAGGATCCACCCCGCGTCGCCTATACACGAGCGTTTCCATTTTTCTACCAGCTTCTTCTGCGGCTTCCTCTTTCCCTCCTGCAGCCGTCGTCTATCTTATTTCAACGAGCACACGCTTCCTTTCATCCCGGGCGCACTGCTCGCTTCTCGCCCCCGGCGCACAATCGCCGCCGGTGTTAGAAGAGGATAATAATACGGCAGTATCACTCGACACCCCGGGTTCTACGGGCGACTAAGAGGAATCCCTCTCTTTTTCTCTCCTCTCGCTCGCTCGCCCCCTTTCCGTCTCACCGCCGTTCTTTTTCTTCCTCCTCCGTTCGGCCTCTCGTCCTCGCCGAGATCGCGGGATCCTCTCACACGCCTCGTCGTTCCTTTTTCGGTCTCGTCACGCGTCGTCCCGCGTGCGGTTTCGTTCCTCCTTGTATTTGGCGGGCCGTCGTCACGGTGGTTTCCGAGATAATTTTCGATACACACGGCACACACGGGAGAGAGTCTGCAATAATTCCTGCTGAGTTTCCATGCAAGCCGCCTCGCCCCGTCTCTCGCGCACGTCCCGTGTTCGTCCCCGCTTTCTTCCGCTCCACTCTCCGGCTTCGCTTTCGGCTCGCGACATTACATTTTGTTTGTTTAAGGATGCGCAATGGGGCAGCCGTGTGCGGTCGAGGTGACGAGCGCTCCACCAAAGATGGATCTACCAAAGGTGGAGCCGATCGTCGGGCGCGGACTATATGATTAGCCCTTCGCGTGCTACGAATGGGTGTTATACTATGAATAGTGCGTACATGAGAGCACGCGTCTATGCCAGCATTATAACTGCAATTTATGCTTTTGATACCCACACATGTGCGACGATCGCGGGATCGCGCAATTTGAAGTGAAGAAAGCTCGCCCGATATTGCGCGTCGACGTTATATGCACTCGTTAGCCATAATATGATCTTAGCAGCGTATCATTAACGTATCATTATAATGAGCGTCGTATTGTGCGAAGATAAGCAGGTTGTACTAAATTAGACCTTGCTCCGAAGGATTATGAATCGGCTTTGATGATAATTTTCAAATCATAGTGATTTCGTTACAAAAATGTTAAAAAAGTAACATTCGTTATAAAAATTAATATTCTGACTGCGATCAAATCCTATGAATAATATTTATGAAAATATTCTGATATTTGTGGATGTCCTTTTAATGATAGATTTTCTGATAAACTTGGAATCGATTTTTTCTCAGTGAAAATGTTGCAGCGCCAATAGTTCTTGAAATAAACAAATTGTGTGAGAAAAAGAGCGTTTTGAATGAAAAACAAATAAAGGCACATCTCTCAGTTAAAATAGACTTTAATAGAATTTTAATTTGTTGAGTATAATTAGTATACTTTAATTAAATTTGAAAAAAAATAAATGATGACATTCTCGCTGACAAAAATTCAGTTCCAAATCAGACTTAATAAAGAAATAACCGCTAATTTTGGAACATCTTGCATACGAAAATCAAGTTTCAAGAATATTTTGTATAAATTTGCAATTCGCATTCTTTCTTCTTTGCGTGAGTGCGAAAGTAATATATGTCAACAAAAAAATCCTGAATTACCGCGAATTAATTTACCGAATAATTCGTTCTGCAGCATCGAATGCAGAGGAATAATCACGAATATAGGAGCGCATGCGATAAAGGATTCGCGCGACGTGTCCTCGTGACGGCAAATCTGGTTTCACGCTCGTCCCGGCCGGTCGCAACGCAAGGATTAATTTATTCCGTCGTGCGCGCGTCTCTTCATCCACCGCGGGGACACTCTGCAGTGGCTCGCGCTTTGACAATAACAGTCGCCGTTATTAATTATGCCAAGACCGGCTTGCAAAGCGGAGACCTGTTCACGGATAAAATCAGAAACCGCAGCATCTGCTTTCACTATAGAAATTACTTAATTACGCATATATTAAAGGGAAGTCGTAATTTTGCTTTTAATACTGTATTCTATAAACCAATTATTTAATATTTGATTTTTTCTAATTATTCGTTGTAATTATTACACAATTACTCATTATATTGGTTCGTGCTATAGTTGCGAATTAAGCTTATAACTTTTTGTTTAAAAAAATAAAGTTTTGTGTTAATATATTTGCAAATAATCGTCAATTTGAATCGATCAAATTGCGCGTTTCTACTCCGATATCGTCCGATCCTGAGATAAGCGACCGCTTTTGCGGTGGACTTTATACGGATTTACAAGCGTCGGGGATGTTGTCTAACGGCCATAACTACTCTTAATCGCGCGTGGCTTATCCGCGTGAAACCGAGGAAGCCATCCCCGGTGGGGCGTCACGGTTAGACCCGCCGAGAAACCACATGGATGTGGACGAGTGTTAATGAGTTATAGCTTGGGTGTGCTGCAGCTTTTTGCGATGCAGTATGACAATATAATTAGTGGAGCCGGCGATCTCTCGCCGGAAAAAACAAGCGCCATGTGTCAAATAATTAATACGACTAACAAATCTAAAGCGCTTTTAATTTTATAGATTTAATATAGTCATAAATATAAACCGAAAGAATTAAAAATATTTACCAAAATATATATTATAAAATATTATAAAAATTTAAATTAAATTTTGCAAATTTTGTGACAATTTGAATAAGCAAATAATGCTATCTTGTTGTTGTTGTGAAATCATACGTTGGGTAATCGCTGTTTGATTTAGACAGTAGTTACAGAAAGCTATCAATTTCTGTTTTGTTAAGACTCTTGACGTAAAATTAGTCTTGTAGAGCGCAAATTACATTTTTATCAGAAAATTACGGGAAGAATAATTTATAACGTTACACACACGCTTCGTTTGGAAAAGAAAGACGTAACGGCATCTTTGACAATAACGGTCGTAGGATATCAGTTATGCGACTGCTTTTACATCAAGAGAGTGCTCGCGCATAAGCGGTCTATCCGTAATCTGCGAGAATCGTCCGGGCCGTTGCCCTAATCACCCCTCGAACTATCCTTAATTGCCTGTGTATCCTTCAGCCGCAGAAAGCGTGACAGCTCGACTTATCTAAATAATTATTGGCAAGTTAACGGGACGCTCACTTTTCGCAGCGTCATGCTGCACATGATCTCTCCAATGATAGTTCGGTGGTGCTTCTGAATAGTCTCTCGAGTTGACTTCGTCATCGATATTCTCTCTGTTCTTGTACATTTTAAATCTAACTTAAGTATAAAAAAAATTCTTGGACCTTCAAACTTAATATAGGTAAGATATAATAACATAATAAAAATAAAAAAGATATAATAATTACAAAGATATTATATTTCTTATTTTTATTATTTCGGTTCACATTATTTTTATTCTTTTATCACTCAAAAAAATGATCTTGCAATAATAGCTAAAATTTTCTAGGTGTAAAAAATTAACTAAAACAGATAAATGATTAGCAACTGTTGTGATATTGCATATGTAATTACTTAATCAGTTTAGATGACAGAAACAGAATATATATCTGTATTGTTTGTGAACTTTAAAAAGAAAGTTTCTCTAAAGCGCCTATCTATATAAGATCAATCACGTGTTAGATCATGCAATGAATAACATTTAGCAATGGTACCTAAATTTTTCAGAAGCTATTGCTAGAACATTACTGTTATAAATTCTATATGTGACAAACAATGTTTTCACAGATACGAAAAATAGCGATACATTCTTGTTGCGATATCTAGAAATCTAACTACATCAGCGAAATATTTTTTTGAGTGATGTAAACTCTCAAAAATAGAGCAATTCCTCGACTTCAAAGACCGCGTTTCTTTGTTCAAGAAAATAAAATAAAGCGCATTTACAGGAATACGTCATTAATGAATGCTAGGAGCTTTGCGAGAGTCATTAATGTTGCCGATATTTCACTGTGGTCCGGTGCAAGTTGTAAGCGCGTGTATTATTGCGGGGTTTCGCGATGTATAGCCGCCTTCCATAAGTCATCGGAACAATGCTTTCACGGCCACAACGTAGGTATTATTTTGCCCCACCTCCCCGCGCGGTCGAAGTATGATCTATGCGCGCGGACACTCTGCACCTAGCATATCAATTTTATTTCCCCATCGAAGAGATCGGAACACTTTCGCGTGTGCGGCAAGATCGGTAGTGAGCATAGAATACGACTGACGAATCAATCGAATAAAAATTTAGAAAATTATTTATTAATTTTTATCGTCCATTTCTAGATCCCTTTATTATATCGATTTATTTGCATATAGAACTATGGATATTCATTGCCTTTCGCTTCTTATAAAATCGCGTTTACTCGGACAACTGTCTAAAAGAGAGAATAAATACCGCTCTAGAATTTACAATTTTATTTTTAACAAAAGATCATTTTTTTAAATTATTATTGAACCATTTTGTTCTACGAATAGTCTCACGTATATTTTTCCTCCAAGGAATGAGTATTGCGAGGACATGATAAACCGAATAAACGTAAACGAGAAGTGAGAGAGAAAGAGAAACGAGGAAAATATATCTTGTTTCGGACAAGATGCAGCGCGCGCACCTGCGTCGAAATAAATTATGGAGTTATCGCAATAGTTAATCCGTCAGTTAAACGCGCCGACCTTACACTGTCTTTCGTCGCAAATCACCGCGCGGGACATATCCTTAATCGATTTTACATACGGAGGGAAATTAACGCGCGCAACAAACGGAATGATGCGAACGGGAGAGCGTGTGCGGCATCTTGTACTTATTCGCGAATAATAGTTCTACGTTGCGATAACGCCGGCCGGGAAGGTAATTACGCGAAGGTAATCAGTGAAAAGTCACTAGGACAGGAATAGCCTTTAAATCTTTAACGAGAATTCCATCGCGACTGACAATAAGGACCTTTGACAGGAAAACATTTAAATCGACGTAAATAAGATTACTAAATATCGTCGGTTCGAGCAACATCAAAGAAAATCAATGTCGTTAACATTGTGAAACTTTTACACTTTTCAATAACATTTTTATATGTAGCTCTATTTGTAGTCATAAATATTAGAAATCAATCGACACAACTATAACAGAAAGAATTTAAATAATACGAATTTAGATAAACTTTCGATTTTAATAAGTCACCGCAAATTCGTCGAATGGTTCGTGCTTTTTTCCCGCAACGACCTCTTAATGATCGTCGTTAATAATTACATCGTCTGCCGGCAATTCTTTCTTTTCCCCGTCATCCTCCCTGCGACTACGTATAACTCATCCAGCGCATAGCAGGGCGGGGATGCAATGCTAGAAACATGAATCATTGTCTGACGTAGGTACTGTTATCACTTTATTTCTACCGTGCGTTAATTAATGCCCGGCAATCTCGTGAAATCATTGCCGGGGCAACGGCCTTGCAGCCTTCCTCGCTTCATCACTGTTTCGTCGGTTCTTAACGCCGTCAAGTCCGATTAATTCGTATTAATAAAAAAAGAAAACATATACATCTTAATCCGACGATCTTTTTATCTATTTATATTCGAAAAGACTATGTCCCGTGATAAAAGTCATTTGTATCGCTAGTGATTAGCATGAAAGAGATTAAATTATTCACATAAATTTATTCTGTCACAACTCAATTCGATGAAGTGACTATTTAAATGCTTATAAATTTCCTCATTAATAAATCATTAGGTCGCATAAAAATGAAACATATATAAAATATTCGCGTAATAAATTGTAAATATATATTCAATAATTGAAAATTACTTATAAGTTGAATATTATTATAAAATTGCAAAATTTTTGTTCTTTATCTTCGGCATCTCTTAAAAAATATCATTTTCGCGAAGAAAGCAACTCTTTACAAAAAAAATTCCACGGCGTTGCACCGAGGGGTTACAGTACATCAGATTGTTGACGCTCATAATACTCACAGAAAATACGTCCGGGTTCGCCGAGTCATATATCACGAGTGGCGAGCTCTCGTAAGCAGGCAGAAGAAGCACGATGAAGGTGGATAAACGTGGCCTTTTACAACGTTACGTATTTTCTTTGCCTCTTGAGAAAACGTCGTGGCGCATCGTCGTTGCGACTTTTACTGTATAAATACAGCTAACTCAAACTTCTCTCGCCCTTTATGCCGCATGTTATCACACGTACAATTGTATGATTTTTCAAAATCGAAACGAGCGATAAAATGAGCTGCAACAGAAACATTAATCATCATTAAATTTACATTATTATAAATAAATAATTAAATTAGTAGCGCTGTTCCTGGCGTTACTTTCAATTCATAATGCTGCGCATTTTCGCAGCGCAGGATCACCAAGTTCGATTTGGCGCTCGCGAGATTCTCGTGGAGATCACGGGACGAATTTCGGTGAAGCCGGGTCCGGGGTGCACATGTGCGACCGACGATCATTACCGTACGTAACTACGGGACCGCGATAATCGATCGGGGCCGCGATCGATCGGCGCAACAACACCGTGTGCGCAGGCGGCCACGACCTCGCACCTCCGCGTTGCGCCGGGCACCCACCGGTCGTTAGGCTAAATTAAGTGGTTACACTTTGTTTGATCGGGGCCCTACGGAGGCACGAATTAAGTTGTTATCGCGAGTTAGCTGATTATACCGGGCGGCGGTGCGAGGTGTCGGTTTGATTTGTTGTTCGCGAAACACCGCCGCGCCGGGTTTGTTTATGCGCCACGCCTCGCACCCCCTTCCGCGTGCGGCTTCCAGGTCGCTTATGGCTTGACCCCGAAAATAAGCCGCGGCCTGACGGCTGGATCGTTTTCTGACCTGGCCCCTGCAACACCGCTCTGTGACCCTTCGTGCCCGCAGCTCTCGCATCTCGCGCGGGGCCCTTAATTGGGACGGATTTTAATAGCGAGCGATCATAACGAATTATCCGAGTGTGCACGGCTATATTCTGCGAAGCAAACTAACGGATGCGCGAAATTGACGCTGCAGGCCCGGTATTTTGGCGTGGATAAATTTCTCTTTAGTCCACGGGTGCAGGAGGACCCGAAGATTCGAAAAAGTTTAATCTTTTTGTGTCCATTTTGCTGCAATTTATAATAAACATGGTTTTTACCAAGAAAATCGCGTTATCTATAAAGTTATTCCTTTAGTTAAATATATATAATTTGTTTTTCTGTTTGCAATAAAAATTGGGAATCGCACGAGTTAAAATCACCTCGAGAGATATTTAACATTATTCGCTAATAGAACAGACAATTTTTTTTAAAGTCATTTTTAACTCCATTTACTCTGCAAAGAATCGCGGAAAGTCGAAGTTGCGTATTAGTTACGATATTTTCCATAAACATCACGTAAGAATATTTATACACCAGATTCTCGAGATAACGAACTATCGCGGATCTGAGATAGGCAAGGGAAGCGAGGTACGAGCGGAAGGAGAGTGGGAAGGCGCCGCCGCGAAAGGGACGCGAGGGAAAGGCCAGGAGGAAGGATAAGGACGTGCCGCGTTCGCGCGAGGGGCGGAAGGAGAACCCCCCACGCTATTTTCCACGAAAATTATAGCCATCTATGCGCGTAATCCCCTTTATAGCTGCGTTGCATCAAATTATAACTGCAGCGGCGCGCGCTTCCACCGCCGACTCGCACGGTCCTCCTCCTCCTGCGTGATCAACGAGCCCTTCACGGGACTTCGTCGTCTCCCTGCTTCTCACCAAGCCCTTACGACGATCGTTTTCCCCCTTTTTCGCTTGCGCTCGTCCCCGAAGCCTCGTAAAACGCGCAGCATTCCGCCAATCATCGCACCGGCGAGACGCCGGCGTGACCCCCGCGACCCTCCGGCCGCGACCTGAGCCGACTCGGCTCCACGATCCACGTGGACACGGCGATAAATCGATAAGTCATCAATACAATCGGAGGAGGCGTGCGAATGGTTTAAGCCGCGGTTACGCTAGACAATTCATCCGAGACCCGACTTTATTAGCCAAGCTTCAAGCTAAAGTCATCCTTTGCCTTTTTCGAAAATAAATTTAATTGTTTCACAATTGGAAGATAAATTTAAATGTGTAATTAAAATATCTATATAAATGTTTACGATGTATAAATATCTTTGCTGGAATTATAACTAATAAAGAAAGAAAAATGTCCTCAAGAAGCTCAATGATCCTCCTTAAAGGATTTTCTTTCGTCTCTATGTTGTAACTGGTATTATCGCAAAGAGAATCGGTTACATCGCGGTCAGCTGACCGATGTCGAAGAACTTGACCCTGGGCAATCGTGTCAAGCGGACTGCGTTGAATGCAAAAGTAATTTGCAAACGGTCGTGTAGTAAATGACGTGGAATAATCGCGCGACGTCGAACAGTGTGAATGTTCACGTTACTTCAGAACAACCAACGTCAACTAACAGCTAACGATAACCAACGTCGCGGACGCACTTGGTAGCGTGGAGTCAAACCGACCTCCTTGCATGATTCATCGTTTTAATCTCTTTACTGTTAGCAGTCCTGCGAGAGCTTGTGAATTGTGTCACCATGGTTTAGACATAGAAATGTAAAAAATAATTATTTTTCTCAATTATAATTGAGAAATTATTTAAGTTAAGCATGTATCGATCAATTTCGGAAAGTTTATCAAACTGCGTTCTTATTTTAACACGTTTACGATGTATACAGAAACCGTAAAATGCATTCTCGTTTGTCTTTATAAAAAAAGAGAGAAATTTTAATAATATATATTTTTTATTGTATAAATTTGCTTCTGTGTGCAGCTCTCGATAAGAATAAATGATACAATAAAAAAGAAATAAATATAAACAACTTTTTTATGTTTGAATTTAATAGTACACAACGTTGCGAGCGTGTTAACAAATGCTTAATATTCTTACGAAAGAATGCCCCTTCTTTCAAAATTTGACATTAATGTGACAACACAAAAGTGATATAAAATCCTCTTCAAAATCATTAAAATCGTATTTATTTCGTGTAACCGTGACTTTATATGTCTGATCATCTTCTGATGATCATTGAAGGTCGCTGCAATACTTCAAGGCTGGTGCGATCTTGCAATATCGTGCGTCCGCGATATCGGTCTACGTCGATCGATCGACGAACGGCGATGCAGGCCCGGCGATGGATTAACGGGATAACAGGAAGCGTGAATAATCGCGGAAACTAATTATGAATAATTGGACGGGACAGAGATATGAAATGCGTGCTCGTAAGCGGATTTTTTTTCTGCGGACTTTTTCACGGTGAGAGAAAGAAAGAGAAAAAGAGAGAGAGGGAGAGAGAAAACTTGTATCTTCGCTATCCAATGAATGATAATTCCGCAGGAAGGATTTTATACGCCGCGGTGTCGTAAAGCGTCGTTAGAAAAATCGCGTTTATACGATATCGACACATGCGTACGTAATGAAATGCGCCTCTTTTTTGCGATGTCATAAAGCATTTTCAGAATTCCACGATTTTTACATCGTGTTGCATTTCTGGCTATGCATTGTATAAAAATTATTACATTCTTAATTAGAAAATATCGTAAAGATCGTTTTATTATTAATTAATACATTCTAATTATTGAATTTCTAACTATCTCTTAACTTTTGATTTCAGAGACATTTGCCTTTGTTATTTCAGACTTGAGAAATTCCATAATTGCTTTCACTTGTTGATATAACGCATTGAAGTTTCTCTATTGTTAATTTACTAATACATTTTAATTATATTGACTAGAAGTAGCAAATAGACTTGCACGTGTTCTCGTTTGAAACAGCAGTCAACACTCGGCGGATTAATTATCATAGATAAAGCGGCGGAAGAAAATAACGGGGGTTATCTGGGGCGATAATCAGCTCGGCCGATCGCAAGAGATGAATCCTTAAAGCGGGCATTCGCTGTGATAGTCGTTAACCTTCGCGGCAGCGTTACCCTCCGCAGCAAAGGCGTGGTCCTGATAATGTTTACGATCTCTCACGAGGAAAGTTGCAAGATAGTTCGCTATTGCGGAAAAGTGTTGGATCGCTGATAACTCTCGCGCGAATGCCATTCTCTTGTTTCTCTTTTAGTCAAATTATCTCGAACGCTACCTTCCCTCAGCGATTAACTTCCTCAAAGTCGAGATACATGGAGCAATCGTTAACAAAGATCAAAATTGGACGAACTTTAATAATGGTCAATACAGTTTTCTTCATAGTTAGTGATAAATTGTATAGAATTTAATATTAGTGTGCAATTATGATATTAACATTGAGACACTGGCGATTAAAAAATTTATATTACATGATCAACTTAAAAAGAGTCAGACATCAAATTATCATGTCTTCCAATTCTTTTGTCAGTGCGCATTATATTTAATATTTGTTAAATCGAGATTATCCCTATCAATTTATCTGATTAAAATGCTCTTTCTTTCGGTGCACGAAAACAAATTGCAATGCGTAGAGTTATTTGCTGCGCCGGTTTCGGAGTGTTCGGAGTGTATCGCGTTTAATTCGAAAAACGGGCACCTTCCGCTCTCGCTTTCTTCCCTCCTTCCCTCTGCCTTCTGTTCATCTCTCACCGTTTCGTACCGCGAAAGGAGCTTTCCTGGTAAGGCGTTCCCCGTCGTCGGAATCCCAGGTCCCAGAAAAACCCGCGACACCGGACCGCAAGGACGTGCCAACCTGTAATTGTTCCCCGATGTAATTGCCCGCTCTCGCACCGATCCGGTCCATCTCAGCAGCCCCCCGCATTCTCCGGGGACTCTGCAAATTCGTGCCCCGTAATCGCGTTCAATCGCGGAGCGAGTTTCCACCGTCAGATTAAAAGACGTTTTTTTTTTAACAGATATTAAACTCAACTTAAATTAAAACTTTAATCGTTGTAATCTTATGATCAGGCCAATTTTCTTGGCTTATAAAGAACTAAATTTTTTAGAGAAAGGAAGATTTTTTGACGGCTTTTATCGTGTGCTAAAAAATTTGCCATCAACTTTCTAAAACCGAAATCCAGATAACGAAGTGTTACGCGCGAAGATAAGTAACGACACGCGCATTTCAAGCACGAGAGCCATCGAATGGTACACGAAAAGAATGATGAGAGAGGAGAATCAGCAAAGAGAGATTGAAAGAAGGGGAAGATGAGATCGATACGTTTATGGAGAAGTTCGAAGTCGAGGAATAAGGGCCGGGAACATAATTATCCGGCGAGTCAAGAAATCTAAAGACCGCGAGAAAGAGGAAGATAAAGGGAAACGATGAAATCGCCGGAGGAAAGGGAAAAGAATGGAGGGTGGGTCGGGGGTTTATTTCTCCAGTGCGGCTGGAATCCGAAATGTTCGAAGGGCACGTTATCTTCTTGCGCCGTTTCTCGACAGTGCCACTCGCGAATTCCACGATATCATGATATGAGTGTATAGGTCTGTGTATATATGACTGTCCTACAGTTGCAAACGAAAGTTAGCGCACGTGCGAAATGATATACCTTTACATTTTCTGCGAGTGCGATGTAAAAAAGAAAAACTTGTAAAGAAATAATTTAAAGAGATTGTGTTCCTTCTCGCGATTCTGCATTTTCATAGTTTTATAAAATACTATTTTTGATAATCCGCGTATAATTTTTGCAACATTTTAATTCATACTAATCAATAAAATCATTTATGTTAAGAGAGAATTGTTAATAATTTTTTAATTCTTACTCTTCTACATCTTAAAAGCAACTTTTGGGACGCGGTGTATTCGATGAGAACGCAGAAAGAATCAAGCGACGCGAGCTTCAATTATTAATTGTCTCCTACTTGGGGAATGATAAAAAGAACCGGATTTTATACCCTGCTTCGTCAGAGATTAGAGCTCAGACTCACTTCAGCTTTTTATCACTGGCCACGGCGACAAGGCGACAAATTGAAAAGTGACCGCGCTAATTAAGAGTCCGGTCTTTTCTACTTGACTGCAACATAGTGCAATTTATATTTATGCTATTTCGACTTTCTAATATTATAAATCATCTCAAGAAGTAAATTTATTTTAATGCCGTTCTTACTAAATAACAGATTCTAAAAAAGTCGATATCAGAAATGTCGCATATATTTTCTGAGTGGTCAGCTGATTTGTAAAAATTAGTTTGCGAGATCTAGATATGGAGTGATCAGAAAAAAATAATACAAATCTAGAGTTTAATCGCATCTGCGCGTGCACCCGGGAGTCACAGAACAGAGGGAGAAAGGGAGAAAAGGATAGAGAGAGGGAGAGAAGGAGAGTGTCGGTGCCGTAGCGGTAACGAGTCGAGACGGCCCGAGAACATCGGCGGTGCCACTTCAAAGCGGGAATCCCGCGCAATCAGGCCCCCTGCCCTCCCGAGGCATGCTTGAAAAACCGAGCGCGAGGATACCGCCGCACCGTCGTTCCTACGTCTCTCGCGTGCCCCTTCGCCGCTTCGTACAGCATCGCGTTCCCGGTCCAGAGCGACCGGAGAGAACGGAGATCATCGCCGCGCGACCAAGGGAACAACCTCGGCGACGTCGACGCGGCCGGCGCTACCGTGATCTTTTGTTTTTCTCTTTTCATATCTACTCGTTCTTTCGTTGCTTTGTACGTAAATAAGTCCAAAAATTACTACATATTTAATAATAAAAATTTAATAAAATAATTTTTGATAAAAAATATCAGTTATTGTGGAAACAATAACACCAAAGTTGAACCGAAATAAATATTATAAACAAAATGTTAAATATTTATATACTGAATTTATAACATTGTTGTAATAAGCGCATTAGCCATTAATAGCACATTCTTGAGGTCATTTGAAAATCTTTATACTAAAATGACGATGCTATAATAATTTTTAAATGCGAAGTGTTTAAAGTAGATCAATCAGATTGTTAAAAATTCATGCGACCAGGCACATCACATGGCACATCATGGATTTTTATATCCTTAACATAAGAGACCTCAGAGAACTGCTACTAATAGGTGATACGGTTAGTCTGAGACACTTTGTATATTTTACATTATTTTTAAATCTATTCTTTTCTCTTAATGATATTGAAATAAAATAAATTGAATTGACTGATGAGAAAATCATATGTCATTTTCTTATGTGAAACAAATTGGAATTTATCTTGCACGCAAACCAATTTATCAATAAATTCTTATTAATAAATTTTTAATATATTTTTTAAGCCCCTGTGATGTTTTTGGAGATTTCTACAAATTTATAGTGAATTTAATGTACGGATATGCAAATCAGAATGCAATACAGAAGCATTGTTATATATCATCTTATATAATAGTATTAAATAATGAGCAGTAATGTTACTCATCCATTACGTTGACTCATGTCACTTATGTCGTTTATATCGTAACAATTATTGCAAACAGAACTAATCACGCTAGAATTTTGTTTTGCATAACCTTGGATCTTCTGGTGTTAGATTACGAAACAATACTTATAGCGTAATGGCGAGTAAAAATAAAAAATATTATAAGATGAATAAAATAACGAAAATTGACAAATCTGTCAAAATTTGTAAAAGTGATATAAATAATTATAAACTATTATAAAATTAATAAAAATTGTTAAATGCGTAATAATATACGAAATATTTCCAACTACAAAAAATTTTCTAAAAAAATTATTAATTGTAAGTGTTATGTATTTCCGTTACACAAGATCAATGAACACGATGGAAAAATACATGTCGCATTATGTCAAATTGCAAGATAAAAAGTGATGATTTGATAATTTGATTTTATCGCAAAAAAACATGCAAATCGTCGTAGAAGCGAGACTATTGGTTATTTTGTCGAGTCTTGCGCGTCAATGTCACTTGTCACGAATTGTGCAAAAAGCATGATAATCATCAAAAATTACATTACTTCCGGTAGATATGCATCAGCATGATAATATTTCTCTGTTTATTTCCGTGTCTCTTCGACTAACAACACACAAGGTAGGATCCATATAAAAGCAACGAGCAGCTTCATCTAACCAGTGTGTAATACGGATCAAGCACGATGATTAAGTTACTCCTTATTTCCTTACTTTGCGTGGCGGTGGTAAGAATCGATAACAACTCATTTAAGTCTTAGAACAGAGTGATTGGTATAGATTAACGCATATTACGTTGACATATGCATAAAAATTGAATTGTGCTTCAAAGTAATAAAGTTAAAATAAAACTTTCAAGACACAGTTACTTACAAAATTAACCAAATGTTTAAAAAAATATATAAACTTGGATAAAGTTTCGAAAAGTCCACAACTCCGATTTGCTCCAAACGCTTTTTATTGTATTTTTACGTGCTGATAACGAATATAATCATGCCGATTGGCGACAAGGTAAATTTCAAAGTCAAAACTACTTGAAAAAACTCAAAAATTATCGCTTTTTTTAACATTATCTTGATAAATATTGATGTAACAAAGAAATGTTTCAAATAAAAGTTGTAGCTTTTGAGAAAATACATTATTTATGTCTTATGCATTTTTTAGAACCAATATTTTTCGATAAAAATGAGATAATGCGTTGAAAAGTGTATGTGTGGATTCAGTGCGTTCCGCCTCCCCCCTTACGGGGGGCTCCACTACTGAGACACTATACACATAGGTTTGGATTGGAACTTCGCTTTGCGTGGAAAGTTGCAAACCCATGTAAAACCTCGCTTCGCGTTGTACAATGTATGCGTGGAAGCCCCTCCGGGGGGGGGGGGAGGAGTTTAACCCATTGCATAATGCAGGGGGAATGTCTTTCCTATTATCTCATTTTCTTCGAAAAATATTGGTTTTATGCAAAATGTACATAGAACATAAATAATGTATTTTTTCAAAAATTACGCGATTTTTATTTGAAACATTTTTTTGTTACATCAAAATATCAAATCTTTATCAAAATAATGTTAAAAAAAGCAAAAATTTTTTAATTTTGACTTTGAAAATGACCTTGTCGCCAATCGGCATGATCATACTCGTAATCAGCGCGCAAAAATACAATAAAAAACGTAGTTTGTAGCAAATCGGAGGTGTGGGCTTTTCGGAACTTCATCCAGTGCTGGATCTACACATAAGCTAGATAAGCTACAGCTTAGGGGCCTCACATTATAAGGGGGCCTCTTCAGTATAGAAAAGATTTAAAAAAATGTAATTTTTGTTAATAAGAGGGGGCCTCCTTAAGATCATAGCTTAGAGACCACAAAATCGTACATCCGACCTTGACTTCACCCATAAACTTTTGTAATATAATAAAATAAAAGAAAAAAAAATACGTATATGAAATCACATTCTTATAGTTTGCACATTTTATTTAAAGAAATATAAATAAGATATTTTTGAAATAATACGTTCCTAAATAATTTCTTAAAACTTTCAAAATACATGATTAATTTCATAAGTCATTGTACACTGTATAACATCAATTGTTTCGAACCACGTAATAAGCACAACATTACGAATATTTCAATAATCATTAGACTCCTTTTCCTACTATGATTACATTATAATAAAAACTTTTATTACTTTTTCAGCTCTCATCAGGGCAAGCTAAAGCTGAAGCGAATGGTAAAGGCGGTGGAGGAGGAGGTGGAGCGGGAAGTGGAGCGGGAGGTGGAGCGGGAGGTGGAGCGGGAGCTTCAATGGGAGTAAGTAAAATGTATAACTAATAATAAGTAATGTATATATCCACATGCAAAGTTTATCTTTTTTGTCTAAAAAGTCCATCTCAATCGAACAAAATTTTCTACAAAATAAACAATTCTTTTTATATTTTTGTGATGTACATAATGAAATAATTTTTGTTAAATGGTGGTTTTCAGGCTGGAGGAAGTGCAGGTGGAAAAGGAAGTAAATTAGTGACACCTGCACAAATCAGACAAAAAATGCCATTTGCACAAGGCATGCAACAGGAGCCACCTCCTCAAGGGTCACCTCCTCCAGGGCCACCTCCTCAAGGGCCACCTCCTCAAGGGCCACCTCCTCAAGAGTCACCTCCAACTAAATAAAGTCGATAAAGGCAGTAGCTTCTATTTTAGGTAGATATTTTTCAAGAGCATTTTCGCATTAATAAACCTATTAATAAATTATACAGTCATTTTGTAGCCCCCCCCTCCCCCCCCCCAATACTTCATTGTTTAAAGAATCTATAAAAAAAAGTTAAAAAGTAAAGAAACCTTTAAAAAACTTGATTCCTTAAATGTGTTTTTATTTTTTGACTTAGCCTTGTATGTATAATTTTTACTATTCAAATTACTCAACAACTTACTAACAACTAAGTATTCGTGACATAATTAATAACAATCCTCGTGAATTTATGCATTAACTTTGTAATGTTTATATTTCATTAACGGCAATTGTAATATCAATGTTTGAAGTATTTAAAATAGCACAAGTTGCTTAGTGCAAAATTGATATTAATGTTAAAATATATATAAAACATATAAAATATATTATATATCAGGATATATAAAATATATATTAGAATATAAAGCATAAATAAATCATCTTTAGATTATGGTTAAAAAGAGTTTAATCTTGAAGAAAATAACGTTATTAAAAATGTAATACATATGTTAATCTTTTATATTTATTTCAGAAGCGCATTATGTGGATTTGGACCATTGCAAGTAGATGAAGGTGATTAGATTGTACTCAGCACTATGGCACATTAAATTAGAATTGCACGATCAAGAAGAACCCCGATGATTTGTGAACAATAAAATTTTGCACTGCAGGAAGATTTTTATGATTAGTTAATTAGATCCCATCCATATTATTTTTTTAGCAATTTTAAAACAATTTGTAAGGCCCAACGCACAATAAAGAAAATATTAGGGATAAGAATAAATATTAAATATTAGAAAGAGCAATTTGGAATTATTATACTTCAAACAAGAGAACGGAATAAATTAATTATTTCTAATTCTTATTTCCTAATTCATGATACGTTAATCCACTTCATTTTCTTGTTTTAAAATAAAATAATATAAATTTTCAATTTCTAATATTTAATATTTATTCTTATTTCTAATATTTTCTCTATTGTACGTTGGGACTAGAGACTTTTGTCTTTGGTATAATAATTCTTTACACGCAACGCAGTGGTTGTTCTTGTGATTTATGTCACAGCATAATTGCAGAATATTGTTTGTGCGCTATCATTTAGCTATTATTCGCACAATATTCTAGCGGAATAGACGGTTGCAGAATTACTTCGTTATTATTATTTCTCATAATCGGTAATAGAAAAATATTATAAAAGTATTTCCTACAAATAATTATTGATTTATTTTTTGCATGATTAATTTGCTCTCGTGATTAGCAATTCAGATATATTATTCCGCGCAAATATATTATATTTAAAATTGTAATTTTATACATTTTATTTGTATTACAATATGAGATAAAATACTCTAAATGCTCTAAACGATTTAAAACGCAGATATATTTAATTTTTTATGTTTGAAAAGCGCGAAAATTTACGAAAATATGATGTGCTTAGCGTAGCTGCAGCAACATACAAAATTAATTACGCATTTTTTTATTTCCCTCTGCTGTTCTTTACTGCTTCTAAAGTGAGTGTTGAATGGATTTCCGTGTGATCTCATGTTTTTCTTTTGACATTATGAAACAAAATTTGCGTCGATTAATATCGGTTGGTGCCGCAGAAAATATTGCGCGCATTTTATATGTGCCGTGGAAGAGCAGCAGTTTGAGTTTTATTTTGTCCGAATGACAAAGTATGCGTCAGAAATGTCGTTTAAAACATCGGGCGATTTTTATATTCGCGTCGCGAACGCGTATAAATGTCTTGAAGAATTGCAAAGAGCACTGAGGGAAGAAAGTTTAGGGAGGACATTGGGCGCCGGCGGAGCAACTTTAGGGTGAGTAATCATTTATTTGTTATCAGTTATTAGTAAATATATCACGTAAAATATTATGTAATGTAACACACATAGAAACTTTGAAATATTCAAAAACTTGCAGTTTTTAATATAATTATTAGATATAAATATATAATTTTTTATGAGACATTTGCATAAAAGAGAGATGAATAAAAGTTTAATGTGATTACTAATTATTTCTCAAATAATTATTTTAAACGCTACTATAACTTTAATGTACTTTTGTATGTTACAGATGCCAATTTGTGAACAACTTTGGTATTGTGCATCGTGCCGATAAGTCAATTCAATTAATTTTATTTCAAATATCATTTAAAAAATACATATAAAAATAATATAAAATATACAAAGTCTCTCAAACTAACCGTATCACCTGTTAATAGCACATTTCTGAGGTTTCTTATATAAAGATATAAAAATTAATATACAATGTACCTGAGCGCGAGAATTTTTGACAATCTGATCAATTCTGATCAATCAAATTAAAATAATTTAAAAATTACTGTAACCTCTTCATTTTAATATAAAAATTTTCGTTTCTGAATGATCTCAGAAATCTGCTATTAATGATACGATTGATCTAGGACACACTGTATATCTTTAATCTATTAATATTTTTGTGTATTTAATAAAAGCATCTTTCCCCAAAATTAATTAATTAGGAAATAATCTTGGCAATCTGGCGTAACAGTATCATTAGAAAAGACGTGGAAATAAATTAATTAGCCGGATCTGTACAGTTCGCACGCGCCGCGGTACATTAATAAATTATTTTCCGTCCTTCTCCGGTTCTACATTTGCACTGCTTTGCGATAACTGTAAATGCGGAACAACGTCATTAGTGGCCACCGCGATGCACAGATCCGCGCTTTTTTAATTGTTGCTTTCGGTATTACATGTGCGTTTTGGAAAATATTTACCACAAGACAGTTACGAGTAATTACGCTCGTATAAAATATTACCGCCGTATTAATGCAAAATGAGTGCTTGAATATAATTTAATGCATTTCTATCGTCGATGTAATAAATCCCCGTCTTAATCCCCTTTTCTTCCTCGTGAATAAAATCTCTCTCTTTCCCTTTTCTAAGCTCCGTGTTAGTCGGATTAGCGTAATCTTCGAAAGACCGTATCGACACTTGTGCTTCCTGTTACTTTGTAATCAATGTTTTTTTTTTAACGAGAAGGTAACTTAAATTTTATGGCATTAGTTTAATTTGATCGGTTAATGTGATCGTGGTCGACTCAAATACTTTGTGTCGTAAACTATTTACTAGGCACAGACTTGGTTTCTCTGAACGATTTTGGCATCGTTTTTAATTCAAAATCAAACACAGAATATCAATCTATGACGCTATTAAAAGATTGTAAAAATTAAATTATCAATTCAAATCGAATAGATTATTTGCTATATTAGCAAAACTTATTTGAACCAAGTAATTGTTACAAACTATTTTTTAATTAAACCCAGCAAATATTTGAACACTATTATAATTTTTTACATATATTTAAAAAAAAATTTTTACATTTTAATTTGCTTTAATTTAATTTAGTTTGTATTACGAGCAAATTACTCTATTTACATTCTTCAAAGAAAGGATGCGATAAAAGCAAAGATGAAAGCTGAAAGCGAGCGTTTATCGGGCATAAATAAGTAATAAATACACAGAGAGAACTGAGATTCGTGCGCGCGTGTGATGATAACGTCTCGCGTTAGAGGGGATGATCCTGCGTATCTCTCGCGGATGCAAAACGCAGATTACTCACGCCGATATGAATAGTTACTCACGGTAATTGGTCGAAGCCTTGTTTCTCTCCGGTGAGAGATTTCTATGTCAAGAGCGTGGTCGAATCGGGTTTTATTAAACACGCTTTTTTATTGCTCTGTCTGCGCTATCTATGCACTCGTCATTCGGGATTTTTTTGTGAAACATTCATTTGTAAAATGCAAATGCCCATCTGAGCTCACTGGCAGATCCTGGGGGAGGG